TACCCTTTTTTCGTTTTAAATAGCGACATCCCTCATTTTAATTCCAAAAAAATTGTGAAATAAAGTACTCTATTAAAAAAAAAATACTTTTGAAGACTAAAAGTTTGAGAAATTCCCAGTTCTTCAAAATGCTCGAAATGCAGTCTCAGGCCACCTGCATTTCCGCCAACCCAGACTTGCGCCTCTGGCATATCGTTTTGTCCGTCTCCCCCCGTAGGATCGCACCTCCCCGTAAAAAATCCTGGCTACAGGCCTGAATAATCTCAGCGAACCTCTTAAGAAACAGAGCGATGCTTCAAAAGTTCATGGTTTTTGATTGCTGGATTTCGAACCATTTTGTGTGTTTCTGTGTTTCAGGGTCCGTCTGACTTGTGATCGTAGTTTTGATTGACGGCAACGAAAAACGCAATTGTCAGCTGGCTATTAATTTCAGATTTCTTTTGTTATCGAAAAGCGAGAATCCACCGCATGTTATTCATGACAAAAGGCTATGACAACATCGGCGTTAATATATTTCCCCTCAAATTATTAAATAAGATCCCCCATAAGAAAAACGGATAATTTTATCCTAGTCATGTAAAAAAATTACCCATTACTATCTGAGCTGCTGAGCCTCACGCCATTAATAGGTGTGATTTTCAATAAGCATTTTTCATGGAAGCCTCACAACTAGCATTTCAAGTAAAATATCAAAATCAACAGGCCTAATTTACAAGTAAAGTTTTTGCCTTTCTAAAACCCTCTTATGTTCTTTGTACTTAATAGTCTACAGGGGCGGATCTAGGGGGAGGGTGCAGGGGGTGCACACCCCCCTCCCCCCCTGAGATGACCTGGTTTTCTAATTCAACTGGTATTCTGCAAAAAAAAACTATGTGGTTTATTGGAGTTGAAGTAGAGCAAGAGACAAGTGCACCCCATCCTAAAAAAAAATCCTGGATCTGCCCCTGGTCTATCATGCAAAACAATATAATAAAACAAGAAGGAGTAACCTAGTTCATTCTCTCTTGAATCAGAATAATATCTTAAGTTTTGTAAGACCCTTACACTGACATTCTTTATAAAGAACAGGAACTGTAAAATCCTCTGATAGTCATTTATACCAAATAGGTAAATTCACATATCCCTTTAAAAAAGGTTAACTTCCTAACTATTTTTGAGATGTGTTGACTCTTAATAGCCAGATACAAAAAAAATCTAATCTTTTTTATATGTAATTTTCTTTGTTGTACTAATATTCAAAAATTCTCAATTTGGTTTCAGGATCCTAAGTTTTTGAGTCAGTCTGAGTCAGTGAGTTCAAAATAGCTAAAGTAGTAGCAAAAGACAAAAAAAATCCTTCTTTCTTAGTCATATAAAGTCTTTAATGAGCTACATACTTTTTCTTTTATTTTTCTCTCCCTTTTTTAAATAATAATAATAATATATCTTTCATTCAGTACTCTTAATTCCCATGGTGCCCCCCCTATATAGTTCACAAGCAACCTGCTTCTATATACACATCCTTGCCATCACCATTTTGGACATTTGTAACCTGAGTTTTTTAGAGTAATGTTTGACATAAAATTATTAATATATAATTAATATAATAGGAAAAATAGGAAATAGGAATAGGAAAAATAGGTTAATAGGAAAAATAAAGAAATAAATTACTTGACTTGTTCCATCAAAGTGGTTGAAACACAATGGCCTTGTTTCACTTTTGACCATCTTGACCTCAAGCTTGATCAGTTAACTATTTCGCTGACATTCACAAATAAATACCAAAAATCAGTTCCATATACAGAAAACTAATTGTGAAACAAGGAACTGCCCTCAAAGATTTTGCTCTCTTCTGCCGACCTTGAAATCCAAAAAATTCCTGATTGGCTGAGCCATAATGAGTAACTTATTGGCATGCATTAGTAAGAAACAACCATGATGCAGCATTAAAGGAAATGTGTTCCATTAGCATAAGCTTTAAAAGATCAAAATTACTTCAATCGTATATAGGAACGTCACGTTGAAACCCAAACTAGAAGAATCAACTGTAATACATGTAGCTTGTTTAGCAGGCAGCGAATGCTCAGGAGGTTTTGCATACTGGATTTGTCCAAATGTTTTGTTTGGACCATGCTGAGAGGCCCCCCCACCCCCCTACTAAATTGTGATTGGTCACGTATTGAAAGTTGACGTTATCTGATCAATTAGGAAATTGGTAGGAGGAATACAAAAACACCGGCTCTAATAGTAGGCACTCCCTTCCCTTTTCCCTTTTTTCCCCTCCCCCTCCCCCTTCCCTTTCTAAACCTGCCATGCAGGCGAAACCCGAGCCAATGAAAAGGCTAACCCTTTCAAACTTTTTCTTTCTCTTGGGAATTTTCCATTGCAACGATCCGAAAAGTAGAGTGCACGATGGGTCCTTTATTTACAGTCAAGGCAGGTCATGCGTACCCCCCAAAATTCTATTTATGAATTGATTATTTGAAAAATGAATCCGTTAGTCCTTTTCAAAACTAGTGTCAACTTTAAATCGGCATTCCTGCACGTGTAATGACCAGTGAAATATTTTACGAGAACTTCTCTGTATTTGGTCAGATTGAAAATCTTTGAATGGATTAAATTTCTTAGAAGACATTTGCATCAAATTCAGGGAAATTGAGCCGGTAGAAATTTCGTAACTGAATCGCGTGTGAATTCACGGCTCATTACACTTGCAAGAATGCCGAGATGAATCTGAAATCTACAACTATCAATGGATTCAACTTAATGTCGAATAATAAATTCATTAATGGAATATTGGGGAGCACGCTTGTATACCAGTCATGAATTACGCTCATTGTACGCTTGACCTGGCTTGACTTAAACTAGCTGGAGTAGAAATACAAACAGAGAAAAATACTAATCAATAACGTAGGTAATAAGAAGAACGTGGTCTTTTGCTTCAGTTCTAAGCCATAATCAGCGATTGAACCATGTCGACCTGATCCTCCGACATTTTCGCGAGGAAAATCCTTAGAAGGTACATCAACTTTGAGAAATTTGCAGAGGGGTTCCCATCCTTGTTTTACATTGTAAACGAGGAGTTTTTCCGGAGGAATAACAGCCTTGACTCTCTCGTTATGTGTATTATACTTCTTTTTAAATAAGGTGGTTGATGTAGGGTTCACACTACCATAAACAGCCAAATCTTCCGCATTGTAGAAATCTAAAAGTTTTCTTGGTTTCTCGCACAAGAGATAAGCTAGCTTGGAAAACAAATCTAAATCTCGAGTCATTTGCAAGTGCTTTACCCAACTTTGAACCCAAACTTCATCACTATCCCTCACAGTAAGAATGATCTTCGCTTCAGGAAACTTTTGGAGAATTTCCTCCAACCAAAAAGCCGCTGGGAGGTCTGTAATGGCATCAACTCCTTCGTACATGGTGGCGAAGTCAAGAGTCTCCCCTTCATGATAAATAGCACGCCATTCGTCCAGATGTATGCTTGTGTGTTCTGGGAAATCGTACACTGTGTAACCAAGAACCCGCAATGCACTTGCTAAAGATTTAGTACCAGTTTTACTCAGACCAGCACAAATAACCTTCATTTTGTCATTTTGACCGATTTTTAGTCAATTCCTCATGATACGTAGACTCTCAACTCGTTAACTCAACTCGCCGGATTGCGTCTGGAGCGTGCGCGCAGGGGTTTACAGTCACGCCAGGATGATTATCATATTCAAATCCGCATTCCTGCTTGGATGTTGGTCTACAACTTCTCGGTATTGTTAGTATTCGGTCAGGTTATAATTAAAGCGTCTTCGGGAGGATAAAATTGTTATATAGAAATTTAGATCAAATGCAAGCAAAATGATCAGGCAGGAATGTCAAAATCCTTGTCATTAAAATGTCTTGTCCGAATAATTTTGGGTGGAGGTCTTTTGCTGTTTAGCTTGAGAGTTGCATAGATAAGGCAGTGACCTGATAAACCAATCGGTGGTACTCCAGTTTTACTGACTAATTAAGTTTACCTTAGTCGTCACCAATCAAGTCAATTAAAGACTGTAGTAAATGTGACACTGGAAGGTTTATCAACAACGTTCTGCATATTAAAAAAGGTCAAATAGATCCAGTAGCCGTTCCTCGTTTTGAGATTGTTGTCTATAACTTCGGTGCGTTCTTTGACGCCCAGCAGATCACAATTAAAGTCGCCTAGTAGAAAGATGTTGTTTGATTTCATTTCATTTTGCTCGGAGAGAGTCGCAATTTCTTACTTAGGACAAGCTGCGGCCAGTGGCGTTCCATCGTCAAGGAAGTGGTTTTTGCATTGCAAAGTCAATTTGCCACGTCTTAGTCCACTATACAACACCCTTTAAACTCGAAAATGTTATTCCTCATTTACTTTTTGCAAAAGCGTATAGTGCGGCTCACAACAAAAGCTCACTATCTAGCAAATACCACCCCTTTATTTAGCCAGCTTAAAGTCCTTGATATATTTAGCATTAATTCATTTTCTGTCGCTACTTTTATGTAATCTTTTGCCTAGCAGCTTTCGTGACTTGTTCTTAAGTAGTAACAAGAGCCATGGCTCTTACCCCGACTGATTGACCGATTGTAGCATTCCACCTACAGTAGTACCGTGATTGAATGTTTTATGGATGCTCGCTCTTCTTGGCACCAAAAATTACTTGTTGTGTCACGTACCCCTGCTCCAAGTGTCACAGACCTACAGTGCAAATCTAAACAGTTACAGCGCCAGAGCAATCGTCAATATCTGGCGTTCAATCGTCGCAAGTCAAACTGATGACAGGCAAGAAACTGCAGTCTACGATCACCACAGGGAAGATAAAGAGGGCTAGTCGGACGAAGATTCTCCATTATTTTGAGGTAGTAAATTGTCTTCCTGGCTTGAATTCTTAGTTATACATTTACTCGCGATGGCTTTACATTTAAAACGCCGACTTTCTTTTCCGTCCAGTATACTTTGAATCGGGTCTCACCTCCCTGAAAGATTAGAAGATAGAGTTTAGTTTACGTTCAGATTATGTCTTGACACAAATTAAAAGAAGAACCTTCTCCATGCCCGAACCAGACCTGTCAAAGGAGACAATTAACGGTCACGCGTGTCCGAAAAGTTTTGTAATCCGTACCAGAAATATGCGTGTGAATGAAAATTGGCACCCACGAGGAGAAGCGACAAGCGGAGGAAATTTCTCTTTTCTCTCAACATATCGCCTCTCTTTGCGGACAGCGGCTATCAGGAGCGCTCCGGTATTATCCTAGCCTGTTCCAGGAGTTCAGCTAGTGAGTGTGGCGCGAAGTCAGAGAGCGGAAAAAAAAGGTTCATATCTCTTTACGCCGCTCCCACATTCAGGAACAGGTCGGCCAGTATTATCCTTGTGGAACTGAGTAAGGAAAGTTGTAGTGTAAAGTACTTTTTTGTGGTGTTTGTTGACCTCGTTGAGGTGTGAAATGGATAAAGTTTTTGCCCGGAGTTTTTGCTTTCACCTCACACAGAGTTTCATGATACTCTTTTGAGCTATTTAAATTACATTACTCTCCATGACTTTTTCCATAACCATTTCAAGTTTTAGAGGAACTTAGGTTTAGCTGTCACTTTCAAAAATTTCAAAACTTTCCTTGTTTTCAGATATTTTTCTTAACTTACTCAGTTCACCCTGCACAAACTCTGTCGTCCACTAAAATGTACGCCGTTTGCCTTTTTAATTACTCGTCTCTATCTTACATTGCCCCTGCTTTGTCACGTGCAGTAGTTAATCTGCCAAACATAACGTAAAATTCCGAAAATAAGCCCCGGGGCTTATATTTTTCAAAGGCCCTTTTTGAGGGGCTTATCTATGGAGGGAAAATTGCGTTTCACAATCGATTGGGCTACAGGCTCAGTCAAAATGGTTGGGACACTTTGGGGTCTCCTTGTCCCCTCAATGTTGGTGTACAAGATTTGGTGACCGAACCGCGATAAACAACTTTGAGACGGACGAGGTGAGTAGGAGAAGGGAAAAAACAGCGTTTGGCTTAAGTGTCCCAACTATTTTTGTCTGAGACTGTGGCCTTATAGTTGGAAGGAAATTGACCGTTTTTGCTCTATTTTAGTTTGTATTTGACGGCAATTTCCAAGTGCAAGCCCTGGGGAGCTTATATTCGGAGGGGCGATTTAACGGAGGGTTTTTTGCGTTACGAGTTTGGGGGGCTTATATTTGAAGGGGCTTATACATGGAGGAGCTTATTTTCGGAATTTTCCGGTAACTTAAATTCTTCAAGACTTTCCAGGACCGACAATTAAGTTTTATGACTTTCCTGGCCTGGAAAATGAAATTCTTAAATTCATGTTTTTCCAAACTTCTTCATATCCAGTACGAACCCTGCTCATGGGCCAAGCAGTAGTTTGTTAAGATCTACGGTAGTTTTGCCAACGTCCTGTTCGCTAACGTATTAACTAGTTTCGCTAGCGTGCTAGGTCAGTTCTCCAACTTCTTTAACCTATCAATGGCTTAAAGAACGAGTTATACACATATTGGACTTTTGCGTATCATACTTGAAAGAACGAAGTATATACATGTGAAGCGCTCGCTTTGTTTCGTAAGCGCAACGACTTGCACTTGCACTTTTTATTTGAGTGTCAATGTATCTAGCACGAAAGTACTAATTGGGGACACTATTTTTACGTCTCCTAATGGAGACGGGACCGCCATTTTACGTGGTCATCCGAGCCACGCGAAGGTCTCGCCGGTTGGAGTGCAGAGGAAGTGCCTTCATATCTCAGTCATTTTAAGACCCTCAGTAATGGTTCGGCCCCGGGAATCAAACCCGCGACCGCTCTACCGACTGAGCTAATACTGCCACGGTTGAAGACTTTAGCTTAAGACGTTAGCGAACGGGACGTTGGCGAAATGACACGCTGGTGAAATGATCAATACTCAGTGAGCGGTACGTGTTTTTAGACCTTACTTTCCCTGGCGACGTCTTCTGTCTTTCTTTTCTTTGACCCAGTCTTTGCTCTTTTTTATCGATTTTCCTCGCGGAACTTTAGTCCTGTCTCTAAAAGAAAAAATATCAAATAGCACTTCTTCTTTACAAAAATAATGAATATATCATCTATGCAGTCATTTAAAGCGTCATTACTGACAATAAAATGCACTTTTGTGCATAGAATTTGTTCTTGCAATGGGCAACGTTTCGCTTAGGCAAATTTCATTGAAGTTACTTTTAGTAACTAGCATGACAACAAAATGTTCCACTTCAGAAAAACTATGGTCATTTGCTAACAATAATAGCTTTGCATTACAACTCTAGCTATGAATTGTAACTAATACCTTATTACAACAAATCATTACTTCATAAAATAAACGCTAAATAAAATAGGAGCGTTAATCTTTGTAGCATGTGAAAACAGCCGTTTCTCAACGCTCTTCGCCACTGGGGACGTTTCGCGCGGAGGAACGTTTGCGAATCAGCGACAGAAATTCCATACTGATGAAGTAAATCAATGTTAACATAATAGATCGGGTAGTCATGGGGTTCCACATCCAAATTGGTTCAGTTTTACGTTTCTCCTGGTCGATTTTACTAAAGCGTTGTGTTCATCTGCTAATGAGCTCCAGCAAACACTCAAATGCTTCTTCAAGAGAAGAATATATTTCACCAAATTTGACTGTTTGTTAGAGATTCATCTTGTTTACATTTGACCTCCGTGGCCTTTTGTCTTTTGCCTGCTATTCGTAAACAATAGCTAAAACAATGTAACTACTCGGTCGACCGATCAGCGCTTCTGACCGGATTCCGGAAAGATTTTACGTCATCACTATGGAATTTTCAACGCTGAGTCGCAGACGTTATTCCCCGCGAAACGTCCTCAGCGGCGAAGAGCGAGGAGAAACGGCTGTTTTCACACGCTATAATCTTTGTAAATGAATGAAATGATATGAAAAAAAAGTGAAACTTAATTCAACCTCCGGTCTGATCAGGTTGGTTGGATCTCTGCAATAATTAAAATATGCTAAAAAGCGAAAAAACGATAACGATGATACATCCAACTTAAATTAAGCCTCAATGGCGGGAGGAGAAGTGTGACATCACATTACCATGGTAGCACTATTTCTGGATGACAACAAAACCAACGATGACGGCAAGGAGAACAGAAAAAAAAATTATGTTTATATTAACAAACAAGAACTTTGCACGTGCACCACGCTATTTTGTACATTTCTTTGCCGTCGTTGCACCACTACGACATGAAACGTTCTATTTTCACATGTTCGCTTTATGGTGTAGCTGAAATCAGTACAAAAATTGTCGCGTTCTTTTTCTAACCTTAGATAGCGATAGATACGGTCCAAAAGAAAATTTCGCCAAGATTTGCCAAATTAAATGAAATTGAATAAGATCAGTGAAGTTTGAAATAGTGCGAATACCGTAGACTTTTAAGTGGCTTTATCGGTTTGTTGTCATCCAAAAATTTTGCTACCATGGCAAAATCTTGAATAATTTTCATTTTTTTAATGCCGGTTTCAGGCAGCATGCTCGAGCAGGGGAGATCCAGTTGACTGACACTATGTGGCCCTTGATATATAAATCCAGTCTAGGTTAGTGTGAAAAAATTATCCCTGCGAGTGTCTCCACAAGTTGTCTCTCTTTGTGTAAAATGCATCACATGAAAAGTTTACCCCCTCCTTCCTGTTAATATTTCCTTTCCTGAAGAAACGTGTTACCAAATTTCCTATTAATAGTAATATATCCCGGCATGCTCTGATGCGGAGAGCCTGGTACTTACCTTTGGCCACTGAATTGTACACTATCTTGAACACCTTTAGAGTCTTCTGTACCAAGACCCTGTAGAAATAAAACATCAACTCAGCCTAGCCCATGGACAGTAGCAGATTGTCTAATCCAGAATTTGAAGGAGTCGTGCCCACAGGCGGAAGCCAGCACTATAGCGGTTTTCTTGAATAAAGCAGCTATTGCAAGGATTTAACCAGTATTGCCTATTATTATTATTATTATTATTATTATTATTGCATTTGTAAACCTTAACGGAATTCAGCTCTTGGCTGCAAGTTAAAAAGTGAATAAACTATCTATCTATCTAGATTGCCTGTCAGTGATGAACACTTTTGTAAGATAATGGCAAAAAAAGAACATTATTTGCTTTAGACAAGTACACAGTCACAGAAACCACGGCATAACGTTTGGTCAACTAACGGCCTCTTACTACTCATCCGCAACAAACTTCGCACCATCTGCCAGCTCGCTATACTTTAGTAGTTTAACTTTAATTAATTAAGTTCTAAAAAAACGAGACTGCCTTCAACGTGCCTCTGCAAATGTAAAGATTGCATTAAAGACGACATAAAAGAATCAGGAAGGTATTGTTATATAACGACAAAAAAGAAAACCAACCTTTGGTAGTTTATCGACCACAACTCCAGCAAAGAGGCACAGGAATATTCTGAAAAAAAAGGGGAAAGATACTACAAAGCTACTATCACACGCAACTACAAATGAGAAAACTTGATGAGAAAACCTTGTTGAATATAGGTTTTGGTTGGCCGGGTAAAAAAAGAATGGGCATTGATGTTTCAATGAATAAATCAGTTCTCTCATAATTTATTGTATGTAAAACATGTGTAGCTTGGCACACTGTATTTATTGCTACTTACTTTTTAGCTCTTGTACTGTTAGGATAATCTACAACAAGTCCACCAGTAAAGCCAGCTTTCATAGCCTGTGTTGTTATTAACTCAACCTGATGAAAGAAAACATACATATTTCACTGACTTGCTCCACTCAAGTACATGACTGTATGCAGGATCAGGCTGTATGCACTTCTGGGAAGATGTACTTGGGTTGAACATACACGCACGCGCAATCTTGGTTGTTGTTACATACATGTGATTGTTGGTCTACGGAGTGTAAAATGTTACAGTTTCAATTCTGGGGACCAAATTAATGATCAGGGTCTTAAATAACTGAGGAAGGAGCCACTACTTTTACACTGGTAACAGCTGGAGCTCCACAATGGCTTGAATAACCAGACAGAAATAGCATCCTGTCTCCTTTAGGGACATAATTTTATTTTATTTTATTAACTGCGCCAAACAATAAGATAAGTGACACTACAAAAAGAAAGTGCACATATATTCACAGTACAGGTGCAGACACTGCAACAGCGAGGACCAATTACTGCAGGCCCAAGACACAGATTGCTAAAAAAATGTAAAAACTGCAGTACTATCTAAAAACACACACGTAATGTTCCGTCCTAAATAATAATTATTATGGGCAGCGTTACAGGTCAAGCATATAGATTTGAAAGAGTGAGGGTCATCAGGGATCTAGGAAGTGACAAGAGCTTCTTTGTAATAACCATAAAGGACAGCTTTAAAGAACTTAAAGAACATGCAACAGATAGTCCAAGGTCTGCGGCAAGAGCATTCCATTTTCTGCTGGTTCTGTTAAAAAAAACAATCCTTTAAAGGTTGGTGATTTACAGTGATTTATAGTGTTCTCGATAAGCACTTAGTGCAAAAAAAACAGTAGCAATAATATTGTTATTGTTTATTTATTTTAAAAAAGGGGATCATAAAAACTTTTGAAATTTTACCTGCTGAGGGTTTTCTGGGTAAAACTGAAACACTGCCCTACTTCCCCGACTCTGATAAGGAAGGAACAACACATTATGTTAAAATTTAGACCTTTTTTAAGTCAACCTTACCTGCAGTGTAAGCATAGATATCTTATATTTATTATCTAGAACAATAATTGCCACAATGTGACCAGAGAAAACTACTGGAAACAGATGCTACTATTGGAAACTAAGATACAGAGAATAGTAAAAGTGAGTCAAAAAAGTTACCAAAGCACTGTATAGGGAACTGAAGAATTTGTAAAGTCTTTTTGCAGGATTGTGTCCCTTCTTGTCAGCATTACACAACCACTGAAGAGCTGATATGCTGTAAACATAAAACACACAAATTGAAGCAATCTGATATAAATAAAAGAACTATGCCTGTCTAAGGGCCTGAAAGGAAGTAACAGTACCAGCCTCGATATGATAATAATGGATGGAAAACATCATGGATAATAAAAAACTACGGTAATTAAAGAAATATAGTTGTAGCAGAAAACACATGTTTAAACCCTTTGTTTATCATTAATACTATCATCTTCAGTCCCCTCAATCAACTGCATCAATGCCAATAAAATTTTTACTGTTTTGAGTAAACAGATTATAATTATTTAATCACCTCACCTGATACAACCATCAAATGTTCCTGGTTTGAAACAGAGACCCTGTCCAACATCATGAAGAAACAAATCCCCTTCAACTTCTCTTTCAACAGCTACATCTACATTGTAATAAAACAAGCATACCATTTATGTTATAAGATCTTAAAATTAATGAGAGTTTTATTTGGAAGATGAGGCAGAACTAAAAGGGGAAAGATTGTGCTTACTAGGGCAAATGAGAGAATATCTTTTGATAGAGGATTAAGTCATAGTACATAAAATTGAAGGAAACTTTTTGTACCTAACATGGCCTGGCTTATATCAAGACCAATCCAATGATGTCCTTCATCTGTCAACACCTCACCACTTAAACCTGATCCACACCTGAAATCATAAGAAAATCAATGATTCTTTTTGTAAGAAATTTCACGGGCTTTCAAGCACTGCAGTTAAAGTCATGAATTTTAGTAACTCTTCACTTCCAAGAACTGCCATGGTATTCATGTCTCCTCAAAAGGAATTTAATTTGAGATTCTGATGGAAGGGTAGTTTGAAGGAATGTACACTGTCAGGTTCAGTTTGAAGATGGATTAGAGTGCATGTTTTTGAGATTTGTGATCAGCTAAATAAGGTGGCTCAGATTAATGTCCAAGAATGGGGGTTTTGCCAAAAGTGAGATCACAGCCATGACCCATGGCCAGTGCAGCAGAGCTGACAGCCCAATGCCCTGCCAGCCTGGCAGTCCAGTGTTGGTTTTTAACAGATGTTTTTGTCCAGGGGTAAATCAATGCACATGCTCACATACAGTGTGTGTATGCATTGGGTATGTCACCCTCCATTAGCTCCAGGGTGGGAATTTTCACACTCTTAAACATTAATTTCTTTGCTCCACTATCCCTGAGGAAAATGAAGGACTACTCATAGTCTAGCTAGGTTCATGTACGAAGGAACCTTCCAGAAATTACAAAGCAAAGGTATCTTATCTTCTTCTCCAGTTATTTTGAAACCATAATACTATTTACTTTTTTCAGCTACATGTATAATTCAAACTCAAGCCTCTGCAGTCTGCATGCAGATTACTACACTTTCTAACAACCATGCTAAATTGGTGGTAAAAATTTCACAATAACAGAAAGGAAGGATCAAATCAGTATTACCCAATATCAAGTAGAAAGCAAGGTTTATCTTCTGGCAAATTTAGCAACTCTATTGCTCTTTGAGACAGCTGGACTTGAATCTCAATCATTCTTGTGCTGGAATTAAATATACCATAAAAAAGTTATCTTATGAAGTTTAAAGTTACAGTTTCTACATTAGTGCAGAAAATATACTTGAAGAAGGCCTACAAATTTGCATCTTGGAAGGGCTTGAAATGCCCTCTCATCCGGGACAAGTAGATTTTCTTGTTAGCCAAGTAACAATTTTTAGCGCTCACTTGCCCAATGACTATGGGTCCAGGAGAATCATCTGGCAATAAATTACATCTTTAACTAAGACTAATACAGGGACATTCTATTTTTTATCCGCACAACCCCGCTCCCTCTAAAATTATGGGATACAAACCTTTGAATTTCTGTTGGCACCCTTTAAAAATTGTTATCCAAAGGGTTTATTTTCTTTTGACACCTTTGAAAGAGTCATTTGAAGCATCCAGTTTTTGTTAGCTTCTTTGAAGGAAAAAATCCGAACCCTTCTGTTCAAAAACCCATCATCTTTAGTGGGGGTGGTGGAAGGGGGGGGGAGGGTTAGGGTTAGGGTTAGGGTTAGGGTTAGTTAAAAACATGCTTTATTTAATAAAGCAGGTTGAGAGAAGGCAGCATAAGCTGATATGGACCTGCTAAACTATATTAAGTAATTACATAATAATTATTACTTACCAAATACTGTATACTAACTATGCAAAAGAAATGTCAAAATAATACAATACATACTATCTAGACTAGTAGAAAAAGGATTTCAGCTTCAAGGATACAAAAGAATGCGACATGCATAAATCAATAAAATAATTTGTAAAAAAGGGTAATCTAGAAGTAAATAAAGTCATCAGTGTTCTTGTGTGTATATGTGTAACAGTAGAACTGGTCCCAAAAGATATTCCATCAATAGATTTCGAGTCTTTCCTAAATGTACGTATAAAAACGTTTGGTTATTTTATTTTCACGAAGTTAATTTTAAAAACTGTCGTTATCACCATCACCCTCGTCTTTAATACAAAACTATATAAAATTTATAGCAAAACACGTGGAAGCATTCCGTTGTAAACAATTCAATACTTACTTGGACGTATATTTACGGGCTTCATCCACATTGTAAAACTGGAAAAAATAACACAAAGCAAGATTACCTCAAGTACGGCCTTAGAAAATAAGAAAAAACACAGCAATCTTACCACATCTGGCGGAGCCTGATGCTCTGGACGCCTTCCAGAGGCCATGTTGGTAAAGTAGTTACTGTGATCAGCGGAGTTGCGCCGAAAAATACACTGTATATCAGTTTACATAAAGCCTCTATTGGCCGATTTCGGTACACTTCGCCTGCCATAAATGACGAAAATATCAGGAAAGTTGATTGCAAATGGCGACATTTGCCGGTACGTGCCGTGTAGTGAGTTGTGTTGATCAGCCTTGAGTATGAGTTTTCTGACGAAACTGTTGATGCAAAATGCATCATCCCGACAATTGTTTGCATTGAAAAATATCCCATTATCTGCTAGGCCTGTTTTTTGCTTGTATAGACTATCAGGTTCGGTCGTGTCTACCACATCGTTTGGAAATTTGGGATGTACAAAGCTTAACTACTACAGCACCGGCCCGGGTCACAAGAAACCCACGAAGAAAAACTACTACAGAGTGCTCGGCGTATCTCCAAAAGCCACCCAGGCACAGATCAAAACCGCGTTTTACAAGCTTTCTCTCAAGCATCATCCAGATAAACACAAGGGAAGCGAGGAATCACACGACAGATTCCAAGAGATTAGTGAGGCCTACAATGTGTTGAGTGATCACGAGCAAAGAAAACTCTATGACCGGGAGCTGGTGGTGGATGGCCAATTACGAGCTGAACACGCTCACGCTTATTATCCGCCAAAGTCGCCTAAAAAGCCTCGCGAATCGATTTACGACTTCGATGAATGGACTAAGGCACATTATTCAAAACAACTGAATCAAAACCAGCAAGCAAGAACGCAAAAGGCTGAAGATAGAGTTGAACTGAACAAGCCCAAAATGAGAATAGGGTCATTTAGGATGATTATTCTGGGGGCTACTGTCATAGTTGGCGTTATATCCTATTACATTCACTTAAAGAGACTGGAAGAGGACGCCAAGAAGTATGAGTGATAGTTCTCTTTCTGAGTATTTATCAGTGTACTGTATAATGGATGCTTCCAAGTAAAATGGTAAAATTATGATACAAGAAAAGATGATGAGATGAGAGATGATGAGATGGTGAATTTTGAGCCTGCTGATTACATGAGAGAGATGTTTTTTTCATTCAGTGACACAGGCCGCTCAGTAGAAAAATCCGAGTACTCCAGAAGGAGTTGACTCCTATACCTCTGCTTACTACCGGAAGTTTGATTGCACTACCACTAAGCTACAGGAATATCGGTAGGTGCTTATATGCACAATGATGAAGATGAGATGGTGAATTTTAATCCTGGATGTCAGTTCCAGCAGTATGCAGGATGTTTGTCACATTAACCTTGTTTAGTGGCCTTAGCTCCCATGAGCCTCCTGTAGCTTAGTGGCAGAGCGACAGGACTAGTAACCAGATGGTCATTGGTTCGACTCATATGGGAAGTACTCAGAGTTTTTCTTCTGAGGCCCGTGACTGAAAAAAAAACATCTTTGTCAAGATGTAGCACATGGTAGGAATGCATCATGGATCACCAGTCATCACGTAATATTAAAGATGGGAAATGATCTGTTCTCTCATTGAGGATATTTGCGTCACAGATTATGCCAACAGAGAAATTTAATGGCTCTCTTTCTTTCCTTGAGTAGGATTCCTTTTTTGCTCAGCAGTAAACTTTTCTGTGGAGTGCCTCATTGAAAAAAATGTTGTCACTGACTTTGTCCACCTGTTCCATTGCTTTTGTGAAATCTTACTACAACAAAAGAAAAACAATGCCATTTTTGTATTTTATTCTCAAGCATTTTGATCCTTGGAGCAAAGTGTACACTTATAATTTCAGAACTAGGAATCACTGTAGGTTAATTGAATGGATAATTGTTATGGATTATTCTCTGTATTCCTATTCCAGTAAAAGGTCAATAATATGCACCCTTGATCTCAAACATTGGTCACCAAACCTCTTCTTGTACTTTCGTAACAATGGACACCTCTCTATAATGATCATCTATCTTTCCCGAAACTGCAAAACCTCACAGAATCCCCACCTCTACAAGATGGACATGTTTATGATGGATACACTTGGCTCAGACCTTGTGTTTTCTGCATCTGGGCATGACCATGCAATGATAAAACATGACCTAATTAATATTACATGTTTTCTCATGGTTTGACAGGCCATTAGATATGCTGGGTACTGTTGTTCAGAGAAAGATGTTTGTTACAAATTAGGTTAACTGCACTTTTCAAAAATACACAAACCTTGAAGTTCAAAAACCACCTTCACAATTGCATTTTTCGCTGCTGTCAGTAATAATAAAAAAATTACGATCACAAGCAATGACAAACATGACAGCTCGTTTCAAGGGGAGATTTCATACCACAGCAGTCCACAGTGTGAGTGATGCCTTGTCTGCACAAATCTGGTCAAAATTAATAATTTCTGGCTGTCCTGCAACTCCTTACATGAAAGACAACAAAAGCACTGTCAAGCCCCAACAAGAGAACCTGCATGCTATCATTTTTTTTTTCTTAGGGGGTGGTGGGGGGAGAGTAAGGAAAGGATGAGATAATCAGCAGTGTGAACAAGTTTCAACAGTGTTTTATTTGTTCATAATATTTCAATGGGAAGCCAGAGAGTCAGCTTCTTCTTTTTTCTTCAAAAGCTCAGTAAATTAGTTTCATCTTATGGAAAGTTGAGTCCAACTCAAAAGACTTTCTATTCCAGTTTTGCAGGTTGAACAGAGTGGTACTAATACAATGCCCAGCATTGTAAATGTGTATTACCAATACGTTAACTTGATCTCAATTAAATTACTGCACATATTATTAATTTATCAACTAAAATCTATATGAGTACTGGGAGGGCCTTCTACTCCGTAACAGTTCAGTTAATTTCTCAGTTTTGATCCTTCGTAAGTGGTGCAAAGTTTTCTGACTCTGAAAAGTTTGAATGAAGTCCTCAACATTCATTTCTCCATCCAAGAATTTGTCAGCTGTTTTCTAAAAATAAATAGAAACAAAGCAATACAAAATGTGAAAAAGTCAAAGGAGTTGACAATTACGAACAATGCATATTATAAAGCCTGGCCCACAGAGTTAAGGGGGCAACCCTGGATTCTGCCTGTACTGTATTCATATGCAAGAATGGTAAACAGGAAAGAAATAATTGATGTTATTACCAACAGTTGGCTATCAGGAGTTGTAAAAAATGTCTGTAAGTAGGTATCAGAAGATGCAGACACTGCACTTGATTGTTTTGCAGCACATGAAGTACATAATTTTGGGTAAAGAGAATTTTCAAAGTGCAGATTGAAGGCGGTTGTACAAAGGCCTTATTGGGGTAAAATTCTGACAACATGGCCTTGAAACAGTGACTAGATGAAAAGGTTACAAGTGATTTAATGATGGCTTAAATATCGACAGGGACATTGCCTACTCCTCAAAATCAAAAGGACCAAGTATTTAAAATTCAGACCAGGGAGAGAAGTATCCCACTAAGAGGGCCTCTGTACAGTGTAGAACTTTCCCAAACAGACACCCAACTTTAAGGAAAAAGGTTGTGCTCATGGCTCATCATTCCACATCCATTTACTGAAGAAATCAACCTTGCTGTTTTCTTATCATACCTGGGAAACCATGTGCTGATAAGACAGAGCCCTTCAAAATTTATGCAACAACAAGAATATTTCTAACCTCTGCTTCCTCTTCAGCCTGTGCAGTGGACGTTTGTAGAAGTGCTAATGTTGTATCAGGAGAATACTGGGTTGAAAATGCTTCTGAAAGACAGGTGAGATTATTGCTGAGTTTAGTGGCAATGACGTTAGTCCATAATGCCACCACTTAAATCACAAGACTAAATAAGAATGTTAATGACATACATGCATAGCTATTGGGAGCTTAAAAGCCCTTTCTCTCAAAAGTAAACGTAATATTGAAGTGGTGTACTTAACAAGGTCCTATTCTGATCTAACATCAATTAAATGCTTACTTGATTCACAGGCATTATGTTACAGATATAATCAATTCTTAAGTTAAACCAATAATAATGAAGGCAATCATAAAACAAATAATTTATTTTTTACTGTGTGGACACTCAAACCAGGACACTTGAAAAGATTGTCAAATCACAATGTTTTCTGAAAACAAAAGTTTCAAATGGGCCAATAACATCCATAAATCTGAGGACTGTTTCCTGAGATAGTTGCATAGTTGAACCTTGAATTTTATTGGTCCGTTTGCAAGAAAAAATCTTGAGAATCTGTTGTTTTCAGAAAATGTTGTGACTAAACAATCTTCTTCCAAGTGTCCTAGTTGGAGTGTCCACACTGTAATAATGGATTTGGGTAAGTGAATAAAATATTGGACAAGATTATTTACCAAGTTTTGTCCTGTTCTTCTCAAATTCTGCTTGTATCAAAGCTTTGTTCTGATGAGCATCAATAAGCAGCTGTTTGTTCCTCTCCAGCTTGGGTTTCTGTGACAAGTTATGCTCAGCAAGACTTTTGTTACTGGCCATTAATATGTCCCGATATCCTGCTATCTTTTGTACCTGTATTCACAAGTTTTAGGGTTATCATTATAGTATAGTAAAACAATGTCAAATTTTGATAATCAAGTAGAAAAGTTATGAGAATTAATAAAATTAAGACTAAAGGAAATATTCGAGAAATGTTTGGAGAGTTTGTATGGTGATCTTGGGGCTTAAAGGGTTAAGAATCTATGACAGTAATCATTCTTACATGTATACCAAATTTTATCTATTGTGAAGAAATTGCACGATTTGCTATATAATGTGACCCAGAAATTCCAAATGTTATTTTCCACTCTATCAGACTTGGCCTTGTAATCTTGAACTACCTGGTCCATATATGTAACTGACGTGACAGGAGATTACATTTACCAGACTGAACCAGAATATATTCCTGGGATTCCAGGCTCATGAGAAGGGTGAAAGGTGCGTAAACCTTCCTCTCAGACTTCTCCCTTGCACATGATCTTGAGCCCAAATTCTGTTCCCATTCCCTTAAGAATGCCTGCCTCACAGGCTACCACCCAGCCAACACCCATTTACCAGATAAGACTAAAGTATATTTGCTGATTTTGATTTTGTATAACCTGTCCCCACTGCATGTACAGGTAGGGTTACCTTTTTTTAGCTCATTCAGGACTGTCCTCTAACAGTGCCAGGTGACTTCACTTTGAATGACAAAGAAGTCTTAACACTGCATAAAAGTCACAGGCTGAGCAACCTAGGTCTAACAGGTTGCGAGCATTAATTTTGGCTCCCTGCGATATTTTTACCTGCACAGACCTCTTTGGTGTGAAAATGGTGATCTTCACCTTTTGGTTCAGCCTACATCCCCACATTCTGAACTTTTCCAACCACTACCCTTCTGACAATCATAGAGTGTTATAATCTTCACTAGAGTCAGACCACAATGGAGCGGGATTGACACAGTTTAATTAACAACTTCTATGGTTCTTCAACGAGGCCGATACTCACAAACTTAGTACATATGCAAGCACGTGTACCAGAAAATATCGATCACTACTTTGACAATGCAGCCACGCTGGTGGACAAAACAATAAGACGTTTTTCCCAGGATTTTTAATGAAAAAAGTTGCCACAGAGGGAAACACTTTTCTTCTTTTCCACCAGGTGCCAGTTGTTCGAAAAGGTGGATAGCGCTATCCACTCGATAAATCACTATCCACTGGCTGTTATTGGTTTCCATACTACATATCTAATGGATAACGATTTATCCGCTGGATATACCCAGCTTTTGAACATCTGGGGCCAGCATGGCTGCCATGATGTCAGCTGAAAACCAACAAATTATTGAAGTGTTGGAAGTACCATGATTAGACTTCAAACTTATTATGCACTAAATATTATAAAATTTTTGGAATGGATTTTCGCAAGCCCCCTCAGATCCATTCATCCCAAAGAAACATTAATTTATAATTTATTAGTATTCACAGTTTAATAGTCACTACTGCAACTACAGTACTGTAACTGACTTAACAGCTCATCCTGCAGCTCCAAAAGTTACATATATGTTTAGGTATTTTTAGGTATTTTATTTATTTGCCACACAATTACAATAATTACTTAAAGATGCCAAAAGAAAAAAGATATATATATAGGAAGAGATGGCGAGGAGGCCTAAAAGAAACTATAAAGCTTATGTTAATTAGGCCTCCTCAATTACAATTTTTCAAAGATGGCATAAAAATTACGGCGACGGGTACAATATAATATCAGCTTACCTTGTACAATTCAATCCTGATGAAAAAAAACTTGCCTATAGAAAGTTCATCCGGTAATAACATACAATCAAATACGTATATAGATTTTTAAGTTCACCACATCGTTGACATCAATAACCTTGTGTGTGAATTATGAAAAAAAGCATGTGATTTCGATTTCTAACAATGTC